TTAATTGTTTTGGTCTAAAATTTCAGATTGTAATACATTACGTTTACTTAATAATTATTTGTTGCTATTTATATTTCATACAGTAAAAATAAATTATCTCCCTACTTCTGGTCAAATATACATCTGTCACCATAAATGCTTTACCAACTTCAGATAAAATACATCTGTCACCATAAAAGTCAAACACCTGTTAATAAAAAAACATGCCAAGATTCAAGGAATGTAAAAAAAAAAACAAATTGATAACTAGATTTTTTTATTGTTGAGTCGATTATTTTGAATACAGATAAATTCAGCCATATGAAATTGTAACGAAATACATCGCTTACCAAAGTTGGCAAAACAAAACTGAACATTATTGGAATCGCGAATTTCTAACTGAAACACATATTGGTATCTCTTTTCTTCTCACGGAGAATGAGAGAGATGACGATATGTGTTTGTATATGACAGTTGTAAACATCATCCCCTAATTGTATACATTCGTTCCTCTAATTGTATACAAGCTAAGGATTACAAGCAATTAATATATGTCAATTTTGACTAGTCATTTGGTGGATATGTATTTAATACCAATTCACATAGATTTATATATCTCTAGATATTTTGTTTCTGCTTTTTTAAACAGCGTGAGAGAGACGACACTAGTATACAAGTAGGGTCAAAACTCCATTTTATTTGTGTTGACAGAATATAAAATCTCTTACCAACTTTATTGTGGTTTACCTTGTAATTAATACTAATGTTATAAAGAGGAAAGATTTGTATTTTTGTATGTATTAAGATAACTCAAAAGCTTCTGGGCCGATTTTAAAAATTGTTTCACCGTTAGAATGATAATTTATCTGCAACATGGGCTATATTTTTAAATTTTATGTAGAATATAGTAAGTTTATTGAAATTTTAATTTCTAGGCTTTATGTTAAATTCCATGAATCTAGAGATATATATCTTTGTAAAAAGGTTTATATTTTCAACCTTATACGTGAAGAAATAAGAATATTATTGTTTTCAAAAATCAAAGTGTAATTTAGCTAAAAGAATATTACAGACTAGACATTTATATGACCTAAATACTCAGTCAAGTCATAAAGCATGAGAAATGATTAATTTTAATTGCACTAAGAAAACATTAACGTCGGTTTCCACTGGCGATACATTCATATAAAATTTCTCAAAGTATGAAGTAATGAGACATTTTTATGTAAATGTTTCGCGAATGAAAACACAAGATAACTATTAAAAAGAAATTATAAAAATACAGAGTCAAATCGATTTCTATAAAGAAAAATTCATAACTACACTAACTATAATTTTTTAATTTATTTTTTTTAAGTTCAAAAATCACGAAGCGGAAGAACTATCATACGGCCCCCCAAAATAATAGAAATAATATTTACATTATTCTAAATATATTGCAAAGTCATAAGTCGAAGTGTCAAAACTTGTGTCATAAACACATAAATATGAAAAAATATATTCTATTTAAATCGCTATTTTTAAGTCAATATTTAAGACAGCACTTTTTATATGAAAATATAAGTGTTACTTTTATATACAAAGCTAAATGTATTTAAAATTAGTGAGTAGAAATAGAATACTGATTAAAAAAATCACTGGAAAAAAATCAAACAAACTAATTAGTTGAGAAAGTGACGTAAAAACAGTTCAAATTAACCTATAATACTATCACACGAAATAGTTGGTATAGTGCGACAAAACTATTTGACCCGGTGACAGTAAATTACAAGTGACTAGCTTATCCCAGTTAATGTCAAAAACGTGTCACAAGATCCTTGTCATGTGCCTTGCAGACATTTAAGAAATATATAGATGGATGTGTAACACGATTGGATAAGATACGAAATGAGTATAATAAAGAAAATTTGAGAGTAGCCCCAGTTGTCAGAAAATAAGGAGTAAAAGGTTAGAGTGGTATGGTCATGTTATGAGGAGGGATGAATCGCATGTGACAAGACGGACGTTAGTTATGAATGTGGAGGTACACCGGTAGAGGAAGACCTAGAAAGAGATGGATGGATTGCGTGAAAGGTGACATGATGAAGGGAGTGATGTCTGAGATGACGGATGATAGAGTGCTTTGGAGGACCAAAACCCGACGCGCCGACCCTACGGGAGTATGATAGTGCAGGGGAGACGATGATAGTGGCTGTGAACAACTTTTTTCACCGGTACTATCTTTGAAAGGTACTATATCAAGTCAAGTTTAGTGCCACCTCGTCTTGTATTAAAATGTAATAAAACATTTTACAAAATGATAATAAGCTCCATCTTTATAAACAAAACAGCCATAAAAATTTTACATTTAAAAATTATGTGAAAAATGTTACAAGTGTCAACTATGCCTACTCTATATTTCTTGAATCTTTGTTGCCTTGTCATGTTTTTAATATTTCCTATACTTAGCATGTTTAAATTTTTGACAGTAACCGTGACAGCATTCTCTCACCGGGCCAGATAATACTATCGCACTATAACTTAAAAAACGTCAATTTGAAATATCACACAAACGACACGTGTCATTTATGACACGTCGATGACATTTGTAACTTTTATGACATAACAAATGACAAATATTTACAGTTAGTCTAATTAGTTGACTATAGTGTGTCTAAATAATTTAGATTAGTTTGACAATTCAATTCAAATTTAGTAGGGATGGGTTGTGTAAAATCAGTCATGAATCTTATCGATTTTCGATTTTTTTTCTTATAGAAGTTGTAATCGATAGATTTATAGTTATAACTTATGAATTAAAAAAAAAAAAACACTGTTTTCTCAAATTAATAATGACCATGACAAAGAATAAGAGTAAATAAATGTTTATTACTACTACAGCCGGACGTAATCGAATTGGATTTCGCTATTATTTCTGTCATCGCTAAATTCTCTACGCTATAATCAATACTAGAATTGTTCTATAAATTACTTCATAAAAAAATAACAATTTTAGTTGAGTTCGATAATTATTTAAACCGAATATCGATAGTTCAAAATTGTTCGCTGCGTGTTTGTTTCGTCACTATACCTGTCTATTAAGTATGGCATTTGCTTTCATACAAATTGAATTCGATACTTCATATGCGTCATTTATCAAACTGATCTATCTTATTTAGACAAACTAATGTATACAATGAAGTTTGTGAAACCTAAAAGAACTACATATTATTGTGCTCTAATGTACAAATATTGCGAACGAAGATTTAAATATATAGACATTGTCATACAAATATTAAATAAATGCAAATATACATATAGGGTAAAAAAACTTCGATAGATTTATTTGTGTTTTTTTTATTAACTTTTTAATGAATAAGACGTGATATTAAATTCAATTGATAATAAAACGCAGTTCAGATTTTCCGTATCTTTTAACCGACTTCCCGAAATATCAATAGGGAATATGCATGTATTTTTCCTTTTTTCAAATGATTCTACTTTTTATAAAATAACAAGAAAAAAAAATTGACGCGAAAATATTCAACCATTGAGCTAAAAATAATAAAATAGAATTATGACCATTTTCGAGCGATTAAAATGCGACCGGAGTTGTCATAAGACAATTGACGTCAATCGTCATATTACATTCATAACATACGCTCAGATGTCACTGCGATTCAAGGACAAAAAGTCAAAAATCGATTCATTTTCAGTATTCCTGGTACAAATAAGTGGTAATTAATAATTCTATCCATTAATTTTTTATTTTAAAGTTATTTCTGATATCGTGTTTACAGTAAAATATTTCAAGAGTGTATTTATATATAAACTAATGTAAATGAACTGTGTATTGACAACACAGCGACGCCATATTAGATAAGCCACTTGCTTCGACCAATAGTGTGCGTTTTAGAACTTAGCGAGGGAATTTTAAAAAAGACACTTTTTAATGATTATATTTTGCCACTAAATGACATTACATTAAAAAAATCTTTGCAGGAATGTTTTTATATTAATAAAGTGTACTTAAAAAAAGGTACAATTTGGCGTTATATGCATATTCCCTATTGGCTGTATATTTTTCATAACCATTTTTATAACCACGCTATATTATTTAAATCTCTGTTCGTTTAAGCTATAAATTCCAGTATAAGTTAAAACTTAACCTAAATGTATAATCGAGTACATACAGAGTATACACGTGACTTACAATCGTCTAATATACATGAGGCAACAAACTTTAGACATAGAAATTGCAGGCACGTTGTCTTGTAGGAACGGTAAAATTTATTGCTTTTGGTTTGGTTTATTGGTTAGCCATTTTTAGGTTTCTATTGCAGAGACTTTTTTTCTTAATAATAGAATATATAAGATGTAATGCCGCTGCAGTGGAAATCTACTATTAAATATACATTTTGTAAACTCAACCTATATAAAGAAACGAATCAAATTGTGTAGATTCGCAGTTTTGGATGTTTTTGGATACTTGTCAGTTTTCGTTATTTGTTGATTAAATTACGATTTATTGTGATATCTAAACTGAAAACCTTTGACAATAAACATTTAAGATGTTAAAAACATGTTTTTTTTTTCATAATTGATCCAAATGTTAGATACAAAAGAATAAGTTTACAAAATTTATATCTGACTATACTATAGTTTTTCATTACATTGACGCATTTTTTTTATAATCTTTGATTTTTTGACAATAAACCATAGATCTTTCTAGATTAAGGAGTATAAAAACAAATTCATCAGTCCATTTTTTACTTTTAAAAATAAAAAAAGGAATGGAGCGTATTTGCTTGTAGACGCCTCAATTGAATCTAAACAAATTTCATACAATGAATTGCTAAGTTATATTTGGTGTAGAAGGGTACTAAGGGCTTGTCCCACCACTGGCTGATAGAGGCTCAGATAGCTTAAACATGATGTCACTGTCAGATAAGAAAATATCGATATTTTCATCGCATATTATAACATATTTCTTAACGTGTAAAGTATGTGATGGAAATATCAAATTTTGTTCCCTTATTTAAAAATGACGTCATTTTTAAGCTATCTGAGCCTCTATCAGCCAGTGGTGGGACATGCCCTTAATCTTTACTTTTAATAGATTAAATGCGTAATAATTCTAGCATTTATTTAGTTTAGAGCCGAATTCGTGTAATATATCACAAGCCATTTCCAAATCGTTTCTAGTGATGGCGAGAGCTCGTACAACTATCTCCTTGGGATAACCTTCACCAACTAAACGCGCTATGTAATCCAAATTTATATTCTCATATGAGACGTTATCTCCGTACTTTCTGCCGTGCTTGTCGTGGGTTAGGGGGTTTATTTTCTTTGCTGGAAAATTGAAAATTTTGAATTAATATTTACATAATACCATCACATCTTTTTTTATAGATTTAGATACTTCCTTTAGTGATCAATTTGAGTATGAAATTGAACGAAATATCCGACTCGAAGGACCATATCATCGATTAAAAATTGCTTTAATTATGGAATTAATGAACTGTAGTTATAATTTTTTGACTATTATACATATTAAAAGCCTAAATATGTATTACTAAACAATTTTTTAGACTATATATGGAAAAATACTCACGTGCAACCGCTAATTCGTTTTCAACGCTGACATTCTCGTATGGTGGGTCTTTGGCATCTTCTGATGGGAATTTTGGCATCGTCGTCGACTTCGTTGGTTGGTGGTCAACAATACCGCAGGTAGATGATGGTAAGGACCTTTGTCTTGGAGGACATCTACTTTC